ACCCTCCCAAGCTTCTGACTGTACCCAGTGCATGTATAAACAAACAAATAAACAAATAAATAAATAAATAAAACATGCCTCTAAAAAAAAAAAGAGATAATAGGGTCATATCAAAAGCATTATAGGAGCCACCTAAAGGGATTTCACATCCCAAATTCAGGTCCATTTGAACATCAAGAAAAAAAAATGACAGCAAGGAATTTTGACATAGGCAATTTTTTTTTTAAATCAATGGATCAAATAAAGAGGCGATAGAGAAAAGGAAAACTCTTTACAGGGTTAGAAGCTCCCCATGAAAGAGCCTGAGAAAATAGTAACAAGGAGAGAAGAGGCAACAGACTAACAAATGTAAATCTAAGATCTTCATTACACACACCTTTCAACATTTCTGTACTTTTTAATTTTACAAATAAAACAAAAGTTTAAAACATACACAAAGAAAGCTACCACACTTTTCAAGGACACATGAAAATACAAGGATATAGATCAAACACTGGATAATAATTATTTATGATGGGGCAGAAGAAGCAGGAATAAGGAAAGGGAATAAAAGGGAATAAATAAATGAAACAGGAAAAAGAGATCATATTTCATTATAATTTGAAATGACAATAACACATGAAGATTTCATTTTGCTAGGGGAGATAGAAACAAAACTGACTAAAGGAAATATTGAATAATATTTCAAGATCAATCAAGCCCCAAAGAGTTTGTTTCACTTTAACTCTTTCTTCTTTACCTTTTATCTACTCTAAATCCTATTTATAATTTTAATACAGAACCTATCACAGAATAATATTTTCTTTTGTGTGGCCCAAGAGTATAAAACCTATGTGTTCAGATTCATAATTGCATAGTGAATGCCCCTCACATTTTTAATTTTTAATTCTTATGCCACAGAACTTCAGCAAGGGCGCGTGGGCTGTAATAATCTGAGGAAAGAAGATTGTTATCATTTGCTATCATTGTATTAAAAATATTCATTTACCCACACACAAAAAGAGATTTTAAAATCTTACTCTTATCACCAACCTTTCACATTTTATACTTCTTTCCAGAATAAATACAATAGCTTGATGTAGTAATCACATGGATATTTGCATATGAAAAGCATCTCTTAATTATATTTTTGACTACTGATCTGCCCCCAATATGAGACCAAAAACATCTAAAAAAAAAAAAAAATACCAGCAGCATCAAAGCCAGAAACAAAGCAGCAGGAAGTCCAGACATCAATAACAAGTAAATCCCAGCAAGATAGTGTGTTAGCAATTCTTAACTCTACTCTCAGTGGACTCACACTGGGTTTTTTTTTTTTTCCTTTTTATGCAAAAGAGAATAAAAACCTTTAAATTAGTAGTGTCTGCCTATGTTAATTGCTTGTAAGAGGGGCTTTCTCTGGAATCTGTGAAATCACTATACAGGACTATAAAATGTAGGCAAGTGGATGAGACAGTAAAAAGGGAGGGATGTGACAATGCAGCAACTGCACAGCCAGCGCCAGCACCCCATCATCGGTCCCCTCAACACAGCGTTTTGTTTCAAGTTCGCAGCCCCCCGTCCCCCAAAAGGAGAGCCAGACTTTGCACACCCATCCACTCTAGATTAAAGAGACCTTAATCTAGCGGTGGTTTGCAGCTCTGGGCTAGGAAAAACCAACTGCAATAAACTGAGGCGTCACAAAGACTTGTTTTCGGGCCTCCTTGGTGGTGCAGCTGCCCGAAGCCTCCGCAGCACCAGTTCAATCCCCGGCCACCCAGTGAGGGTCCCACATGGCGCGCAGACCTCTCCTGCCACCCGCTGCTCCCCTCAGCAGTGTGTTTCATCAGTCTGCCTGTTCTGCTCCACGCTCTGGCTCTGGTGAATCCTCTCACCCTCCCGTGCTTCTGACTGTACCCAGTGCTTATATAAATAAATCTTTAAAAAAAAAAAAAAAGACTTGTTTTCACTGCAGAATCGGTCCCATTTGGCTTCAGAAAGCCACTGGTGGGGCGCTCGGCTGCTTGAGCTGCGCCACCCCTGTTACACCTGCCCCTTAGCCACTGAGCCATGGGCATCATTTCATTTTAAAAAAACAAACCACACGCCCCACCCAGACCGTATCATGCGGGCGCCTCACAGCTGGGATCTGTGCAATCAATGAAACGAGGGCCCCGCAGCCCGCCTGGCCCTGACGCCCGGCTGGCCAGCCCCTGCGGCCCACCAGTGCCCCCCCGCCCGTCCTGACCTCCAAGGTCGCCCCGGCCTCTGCTCCCCGAAGGCCTCACATCCTCCCGTGGCACCACAGGAGTCGCCTTTTGCTCAGATAAGCTTAAAATGTCTGATTGGCCCCAGGCTGCCTTTTAAGGGCCCTGATGTCACAGGAGATAACCCAGGACCCTGCCGGTGCCAGGGGCGCGGGCCTCAGGGGGGTGCGCCTGGAGGCCTCGGAGTGGGCATCTGCGGGCGCCAAGGGTGGGGTCTGGGTGGGCACCTGGGGGCCTGGGGTGGGCACCTGGGGTCTGGGGTGGGCATCTGGGGGCCTGGGGGTGGGCACCTGGGGGTCTGGGGTGGGCACCTGGGGGTCTGGGAGCCCGGGGTGGGCATCTGGGGCCCCGGGTGGGTACCTGGTCGCAGGCGCCAGGGTACCAGTGGCTTCTCCAGCCCTGCCCGCTCAGCCGCTTTGGCGTTGAGCTCCTGGTCTCCACCGGGCCCCTGGGGCTGGTGGGGGGCGGTGCTGGAGTCAGAGTCCGACCTGGGGAGCGGCCCAAGTCGGGGTGAGCGGGTCCGGCCCTGCCCGGCTGGTTCCGGCGCGCCCCGCTGATGCCCAGCGCGCTCGGGGCTCAATCGCTGGGGCCTGGTCGCCACGAGGGTGATGCGAGGCGCCTGGGAGCGGACCTCAGCGGCCTCCAGCGCAAAAACAAGCAGCGCCATGTGTCTTCTGACGACTCCCCAGGTTTTCTGACGACTCCCCAAGACGCCCTGTGTTGCTGGAAAACTCTGGTTGTCCCTGCGTCCTGCCTGAACCGTCACGTCCCTGCATATTCGTGGGCCCTGTCCACCCCCCACCCCACCTCCCCGGGGAGCCCCCAGACCGCTGTGGCCTGAACTGTGCCCCCCAACATTCATTTGCTTAAACCCTGATCCTCTATGGGATTATATTGACAAATAAGGGCTTTAGGAGAGAATTAAGCGATAATAAGGGTGGAACTCTAAGTTTTTATTGTATAGGACTGTTGGCCTAATAGGAAAGAGAGACAGATTTCTTTAAGGGCTCAAGGGAGGAAAGACCCTGTGAGGACAAAGTCGTCCGCAGCCCAATCCTCCTGGAAACTGGACCTTGTGATTTTCATCCTCCAGTACTGGGAGGACGTGTGTTTCCATTGAGAGCTGCCCTGTTGGGGGTGTTTTGTCTGGTGACCTGATTTGACTGAGGCCTGGATACACACCAGAAGCTTCACTCACTTTCTTTCCACGTACAGAATTCATTTTTGCTAAACTGTAGAACAATTGTTATAGTGGGTTGAAGACCCTTGTATATACTTTTGTGGCTTCTGATCAGAGATACTAGGATAAAGTTCATGAAGGGGAGGAAATATAAAATGTTTTTATACCCCATCTGCATAATATACTGCACTTTCCTGACACTTTCTTTACAAGGAAAAAAAATCTATCACTGTCACCAAGTCAGAGCCTTCTAAGAGAATGATTGTGTGTGTCAGTTGACCGAGAATGCAGGCCCAATTGTAATGTTCTAAAAATACCAAGCTTCTCCATTCAACTGATAAGGGACTGATCACAAAGATATACAAAGAACTCACAGGGCTCAGCAAAATCAATATAAACAATCCAGTCAAGAAATGGGCAGAAGAACTCAAAAGACATTTCTCCAAAGAGGAAATGCAAATGGCCAACAGGCATATGAAAAAATGTTCAACATCACTTGTAATCAGGGAAATGCAAATCAAAACCACACTGAGATACCACCTTGCACCAGTGAGAACGGCACAGATCAAAAAAACAAGCAACAACAAATGTTGGCGAGGATGTGGTGAAAAAGGAACTCTCCTGCATTGTTGCTGGGAGTGCAAACTGGTCCAACCATTGTGGAAAACTGTCTGGAGGCTCCTCAGTCTACTAAAATTGGAGCTACCATACGATCCAGCAATTCCACTCCTAGGGATCCGCCCAAAGGACACAAAAACAGTGATTCAAAAGAGCACCTGCACCCCTATGTTTATGGCAGCACTATTTACAATAGGTAACACCTGGAAACAACCCAAATGCCCAAAAATAGATGACTGGATCAAGAAGATGTGGTACATATACACCATGGAATATTACTCAGCAATCAAAAAAGAGAAACTCATGCCATTCGCAGCAGCGTGGATGGAGCTAGAAGGAATGATGCTCAGTGAAATAAGACAGAAGGAAAAGAAAAATATCGGCTGGTTTCACTTATAGCAGGAATATAGGGGAACTCAATAAGACATCAGTGTAAAAAAATAATAACAGTACAAAACACAACAAAGCAAAACCAAACAATTATAAACCAGAGACATCCTGCAGGGGAGGAGGAGGGAGAGGGATCAGAGGGAGGGAGGGAGGCGCACAGGGGACTGAGGTGATGGTGCACGGGGGCTTTGGGGAAGGAGATTCTATGGGGCCTCAATCTGAGGGGGTGGGGGAAGCAAATATTGTCCAAAAAATGTAAAAAAAAATTGATAAATGTTAAAATTTTAAAAAAATTTAAATAAATAAAAAAATAAAAATACTGTGCTTTAAAATGCTTTCATTGCATATCGCACATACATCTGAAAATCTATATAGATATTTAAAAAAAAAGGAAAAATGGTTTTGTTTTTGAGAAAAGTTGGTTGGCATCTTCCTTGCTTTGGGGTGTATATATATTATATACATATTAACGTGCCCTTGATATGGCCATTGATGACACTATCACTTTAAGACCGTGCTCCAGTGAAAACCGCAGGGACAGGGTGACCTAGCCTTGTTCATCTCACCTTTTTAGACTCCCAGGTGAAGTCAGTGGGAACACTGGTGATCAGATTCTGCTCCTTTTATGGATCTGTAAAATGTGTCCAGGAAGAAAGTGACTTTTCCGATTTCACCCAGCCCAGGGTGATTATTAGATCTAATATGCCTAGATAACATTTAATTATACATTTATTTTTATAGTATGATATATAAGTATGTAGCCTATTAACATAGCATATCATGTAACAATATAACATTATATAATACACAATAAGATAAAGGCTAAAGCCTGTGCTGTTACCAATTATTCTGTATTGAGTGAAGATTTAACCCAGCATTTTTTGTAAAGATTTATTAATTTATGCATACACGAACTGGGGTACAGGTCAGAGGTGGGGGGTAGGTGGGTGAAAGGATTCACCAGAGACAGAGAGGGGAACAGCACAGGCAGATGGACCAAAGGCACTGCTGAGGGGAGCAGCGGGAAGACAGGAGAGGTCTGCTGCACCATGTGGGTAGCTCCCTGGCTGGGGATCGAACTCATGCTGCAGTGGCTCCAGACAACTTCATAGGTTGCATCTTAACCCCTTGACAAGCTACAAGGGAGGCCCTAACCCAGCATTTTTTAATTTAAAAAATATAAAGAAATTAGAGAAAAGATAATCATTTGAAAACATGATGGAAGCTATTATTTATGTCTATAATGAGAAATACAAAGAAAAATGCAAAATAAAGTCTCTTACTATATTATATATTAAAACCCCTTATCTTAGGCTTATGCCTTTCATTTTGGCTTTTTGATCTGTATGGTATATTTCCACCCAAGGAATAAACTGAGTTCCACATATCTTAATTTAATCTTGAAACCTGACATATTATATTGGATTTCATTTGCTTCCAAGTAATACTCAGTATGATATTGGTGCATCAAATTATGAAATTCAACATTTTTTTTTCTTCCAGGTAATGGAAAATTTTTAAATAAATGACATTTCAGCCCACTGCATTACATTTGGCGGTGTGTCATAGATAAGGGTGGAAAAATAGCAAAAATCTAAAGCATTTACATTTTTTTTAAGTAAGAATGATGTTTGATCTTTATAACCTCTGAGGTATTTGTTTTTTGCTAACATAAAAAATTTTCTCAGGCTATGCTGCACACATTAAGCTCGCTATTTTAAGATGATAAGCATTTCATATATTATACATTAAGCACAGCTAAAATCTAACACTTTAAAAAATGGACTGAGGGGTTTGCCTACCAATTAAATTTTTGCACTAAATTTAATGGCAAAAAGTTGAGATGTAATTAGCTCAGAATACAAAGCTCTGAAAGAAACCTGTCAATGCCCACCCCCTTCTTCCTCCTACCTCCACTCCAGCTATATTGTGATCTCTCATTTTTAACTTCTTTGCAGCTTCCCACACTTTCCTACTTACCGTGTGAGATCTGCATCTATTAAACTCCTCCGTCTATCTTTCTAACCTCTCGTTTCTACCTTTCATTAATTACAGCATTCTATATATATGCTATGATATTATATACATACTCTATACATAGTATATATACTCTGTGTGTGCGTTGGTGTGTGTGTGTGTGTGTGTGTGTGTAAGTAAAATCTCCAACTCTTCTTCATGGGTCACCAGCTACCTGGGTGATGGCGGAAAATGTCCTCTGCCTATAAAAGGTGCAATCTGTAGTCTATCCTCCAAATTTGAGAACACTTGATGCTCCATGGAGTTCTGACAATGCTAACATCTCGTAAATGTTAAATCTGTCAACCTATATTTAGTCCATCTCATGCTCCAACACTTTATAAGTCCAGAAGTTTGCCTGCGTTTACTGTCCAGAGGACACACATAGACAAGGTCTGTTCCCCATGATACAGCTGCTTTCCTGGGTGCCCAGAAGGGGAAACCCCACTGCCACCAGCCTGGTACAGGTCTTGCTTATTATGCCTTGCCCACATTTCTGCAGTTTCTTCTTTCTCTTTTAGCACATCAACACTTCTGCCCCAGAAACTGTCCTAATATACTTCCTTGCATCTGCCAATGTTCAGTTTTAGAACTTATAGTTAGTTCTCTGTGTGTGTGTACAGTTGGAGAGAAAGACACAGAGATTTCTCACTCTAAACTCAATGCTCAATGTTTTCCCATGATCAAATCACCAGTCAATTTTTCAATTATTTCTACTACTCCCCTACAATAAATCTCTGTACCTCTGAACCAGTGATTTAGCAAACATTGAAACAATGTTATATATTATGTTGTGTATTTTTTTTCAGGCCCTCAAAACTGTGCCGTTAACCTTTCTCCACATCAAAGTCAAACCAATTCCCACATTGCAATGAAGGTTATGGTCCCACCTTTTAGGGGTTTATATATATATATATATATATGCATTTTGAAAACTTTTTTAAAAAATTGAATCTCACAGATACTCATTTTCTAGAACCGTGGAGCCAGGCTACAAGGGTTTGCCTCTCAGCTCCAGCAATGACCCGAAGGCTTATCTTGAACCATTTGTTCCATATCTTTGTGCCTTAGTTAACTCACCTTAGTTATAGTAGTAATAGTCTCCCCACCCGCTCCCAGAGTGTTATGTGAAAGATACAGGAATGAAAAATCTTAAGTCGGAAGAGAACCTGGGATATAATAGGTACTGTGTATGCTAGCATTTTTTAGTATTATATACAAATACAGTGGCTTCAAGAGCAAGCAAATATACACGGGTTATTAAAGCTCAAATTAAGGGGATATGAACAAAAGAGCAAAATGCAGCTGTAACATTTACTGAGGCATATGCTAATTTCTACTGAAATACAGTAAAAATGTATGTGTGATATAAAGAAAAACTGTAGTTTTTAAAGATTAATATCTAACAATAAGTCTAGTCTCTACCATAAGGATTTAAGGCAAACTCAAAACATATTGGCTGAGGGAACAAACAAATATTAAGAGAAAAAAAAGAATTATTATTACCATAATAACTTATGACAGCCAGAAAAAGCTGGGTTTAAAAGAAATTATATCACCTAAATATCTCAATTAGTGAAGAATAAAGAAAAAAACTAAGGGATTTACTTCTTATCTTAAAAAGGTTTAAAAACCTAGGGAAACTAAGAATCAGAAATTAAAAAAGAAGCAAACTAAAATATAAATCAAAATCTAATGAAAAACTAAATAAAAATAAACCTGAAATCTTGAAATCGTAAATAAAATAGAGAGTGACCAAACATGACAAGAGGAATGAAATAGCAATCAGAAGAAAGCCTGGGGATTAAACCAGTACATTTTAATATAGTTTTATTGATTCATTAGAGCTTTACAATACTATGTAAGTTTCCGAGTAAAGCTTCACACTTAGATACATGTATATACCATATTGCATACACCACACTACACAGCAGTAAAGTCAAAAAACACAATTATTCTTTCCCATTCTTAAGGAAATTTAAGAGCAATGATTAAAAATAAATCCACAAGTGAATTTCCAAATACTTTTGCCTCAAGGAAGTGAAATCGAATAGTAATTGAACTGTATCTATCTCCTGCAAATTTTGCTTCTCTGATACTTTATCAAATAGGGATACGGGAAAGGAAGACTGTTTATTCAAAAATGTGTTCATCAGTACAGAGAGAATAAAAACTATAGATTGTGTATACTCCAATGGCTCATTTAACTTTGAATTATCCCGAAAACATTATGAGCAGCTGAAATTAATGAGGGCCTTTCAAAGTGAAACTTATAATTACAGAGAAACATTGGCAAGTTTAACAAATGTCCTACAGGATAATAAAATTGTAAAAGTTAAGTGTATCTCTAACAAGTTGGGGAAGATGGCTTGATGCAGACTCTACCCAATCTTGAATTAATTTGACCCTCAATAGCGATGTTCTCCTTAAGGCAGTCACCAGCACTTAAACAGTTTCCTGTATTTCAGAGCATGATCTGTTTCTACTGCAGAAAACTTAAAGGCCTAATACTGTCACTCGGAAAATCCTGTTGCATCTATTAGGGAAAACAAATATTTGTTCGATGAAGTTTGAATGGTCAAATACTTTGAAAATACCTTCACAGTGTACTCAACACACTGGAATTGCAGTGAGGCGTGGTTCTTTCTTGGAAGCATGAGGAAAGAAATGCCTGAATGTGAAGTGAGGACAGTATCTGAAAACATACCAGACAAAAACTTACCAGAGGTTTAAATAGAAACCAAAAATACTTCCATTTTGCCACGTTTGAGATTCCTAACCTGCTTCACTCCAGAAAATACAAACTAATGACACTTGCCCAAAACAAGTTTTCACTGCCTTCTCTGTCTTTTATCTATTAAAAGGTTTTGTGTGCTGCACTGTTCACAAGGGCCTGGTTTTAAAATGCTTATGTTATATTTATTAAAAAGTGCAAGATAAAAAGAGTAAAATACACAAAAGAAATACTATTCTGAACCTAATTAACATTTCAAAGGTTAAGAATAATACTATTCTCCCTTATATTTTCTGTCTGTTACACACACTGAATGCTTACATGTAAATCTTTATACCTTTTTATGAAATGCCCAATTTCCATGTGTCTCTATTATTTTAGACAAAACTCTTCCAAGAGCACAATGATTTACATAAAGAAAATTCTGCATCTCTTTGTTTCTAAAACTTTAAATACTTAACCCCTGACTTGGAACCTTTGCATTTAGTATGTGGCCTGCGGCAAGAGCTATTAGCTTAGTGGAAGTCGTGGAGAAGAGATGAAACACTCCCAGCAGTGTTGTAAGCTAGAGCAATAACAACTAGGGATGGCTGCAGAGAATTGCTTTCTGATTCTGGTTGTGATAAACCTACACTAGAGATTTCCTCCATCCCACACCTCAACCCACAGAATTCCCACAGATCCCACACTTATATTATTGTAGGGGTCCTGAAAGGGTTTGTGGTATAACTTCCTAATAATAAGTTGGTGCAGGTCTATTTTTCTTGGAATTCACAATTTATCTCTTAATTTTTTTTTTCCTAAATGAATTCTTCTAATATTTTGAAGGATGTGTTTTAGGATTGGCTCATTGGTCTGGGGATATGATTCTTACTTTGGAGGATCTATTTTGAAGCTTTTTAAGAATTGATCATTCAAACATTTTAATTCATCAGTAGTTAGGTTTTATTTATCTCACCACTTTGAAAATTTCTTTTAATGATTAGAAGCCTAGTTTTAGGATCCAATCATGACATTTTAGTGTCTTTATGCAGTTGTGTGATTATACACAGGCAAATTAAAATGAAAAACATACCCACTTTATAAATGAGAATATGTGAAAGTCAATATTGAAAATATATTCCACACCCTATCATTAATAGTCATAGTACAGTGTTAAGTTAAAAACAATACAGATAGCGGGCCTCCCTGGTGACACACAGCACTGTGAAGCAATCCACAGCCTCTGCAGCATGAGGTCAATCCCCGGCCACCAAGGAGCAACCCACATGGCCAGACAGACCTCTCCTGCCTCGCCCGCTGCTCCCCTCAGCAGTGTACTTCAGTCAGTCTGCCTGTTCTGCTCCCCACTCTGTCTCTGGTGAATCCTCTCACCCCCTGCACATCTGGCCTGTACCCCAGCTCTTGTATGCATAAATAAATAAATCTTTAAGAAAAAAGATTGCAATTGTTAAAATAATTCATAAATAAGCAACATTAATAAAAACATGCCATTATTACCTGGATGGCTGAAAAACAAAATCTGGTTGAGTGTCCGTGTTCTCATTGGTAGTTTATTTCTACCACGCAGCACTCAACTAAAAATCTTAATGAATAACAGCGATTTTCTTCTCTGTTCCGCAAACATCCCAGCAAGCGCTTATCAGTTTCTCAGCCGTCTCTCTCCAGCTCTCTGACCAGCTGGAGCCCACACACCACTTTGAGCTTCTCCAGGTTGCCACTGCTTTCTCTGAGCTGTGCTGGCAAATTCACATGTCGATTTGGCTGGGCCACATCACCCGTATACTTGATCAAATAATATTCTGGATGTTTCTTTGAGGGTGTTTTGGGATAAGAGTAACATTTAAATTGATAGGCTTTGAGTAAGCAACTGCCCTCCAGCCTTAGGGTGGGGCCCATCCAATCAATTGAAGGCCTGAATAGAACAAAGACTGACTCCCCCAAGCAAGAGGGGATTTTGCAAGATTCAGCTGCAGGCTCAACCACTGCAGTGGCAGCTCTGCTCTGGATCATCAGCCTGATGGTCCATCCAGCAGATAAACGGATTTTGAATTTGCCTGCCTCCACCACCAATTCCTTACAAGTATCAGCTGGATGGATGGACGGATAGATGGATGGATGGATGGATGGATGGATGGATGGATGGATGGATGGATGGATGGACAAACAAACAGAACTCCTCTGAAGAATTCTAATCCCCTCTACTGTTTATTTTTCTGATTTATATTTATTGTGACTATTTACAAAGTTTTACATAAGAAAAGAAGTCTAATGAAGAGCAAGGTTTGTAGATACTAGTGTGAGGAAACCCTGAGGGGACTGGAGAAGAGCAGGCCAATCCTACCTGGATTCAGAAAGGCCTCAAGGGAGAGAAACAGGTTTCAATCCCAACAAGAACCTCCCAGCATCAGCCTGAATTAGACCCAATAGGAGGGAGAGCCGGGCTTCCTCTTCCCCTCAGTTGTAAGGCCCGTTGCCTTCCGCCTGACTGGGAACCACGCAGCCTGTTCCTTTAAGGAGATGAGAACTATTTTCACTCACAACTGTTAACTAAGCCCTCTTCCCAGAAAAGGTAATCATTATTTCTTCTCTAAAATTTTCTGTATTTCTTGAGCTTTCAAAAATGAACATACAGCAAATTTATAATGATAAAAATATTACTTAAAATAAATTAACCAACCATTAAATTGGAACACACTAATCATTACATTGTGGTGGGTAGCTTTCGAACTTTCCCTACAACAATGAACAACAATTTAACATGTGTCACTGCTACCAGGTACTTTAATTCCAGGCACATTTTGTCCAGATACCTTTGTTGAAGCATAGCTACGTTATTTACATCTCATAAATCATAATTCAGGGTACTTCTCAAGAGAAAGCCTGCAGCATTTTAGAAATTTCCATTGATTTCTCCAAATATGCCTCACCTAGCATTTTATTGCTTTGTGCTTTAAGAGGATGACAGTCACATCTCTGCACTTCTTGCCTAAATAGAGGCTGGGCCGTGGAGACTCCTGCGTCTGTGAGATGCTGAGACACAGAGGTGACCGTGACCTTTCATGTTAGCTGCCCAAGCACCACTAAGGGTGAGCTAAGGATGGGACTAGGAATGAACATTCAGGGAGAAGTTTTCCCAAGTCCAGCTACACTCTTAGAAAATGCAGGAGTGTGTGCCCTGGTCTGGAGGAGTTTGTCTACTCTGAATAGGGCCTTAATGCCAGCATCTCCTCCTGCCAATCTGGAATATTCCGTTGTATGTATGTGCATATATGTATGTATGCATATGCATGTGTGCATATATACGCACACATTTTATCTGTTCATTCAACAATGGATGTTGGGTTTACTTCCACCTCTTAGCTATTATGAATGGTGCTGCTGTGAACAGGGATGTGCAAATACCTCTTTGAGAGTTAACTCGATTCTTTTGGTTATATATCCAAGAATGGAGTTTTTTTTTAAAGATTTATTTTATTTAGTTATGCATAGAAGAACTGGAGTGTAGGCCAGGGATGTGGGGATTAGAGGCTTCACCAGAGACAGACTGGGGAACAGAACAGACGGTCTACTGAAATACACTGCTGAGGGGAGCAGCGGGCGAAACAGGAGAGGTCTGCTGCGCCATGTGGGTAGCTCCCTGGCCATGGATCAAACTCATGCCACAGTGGCTGGTGATAAATTGATAAAGCTGAGACTTTAATGCCTGTGCTGCCAGGGAGGCCCTAAGAATGGAGTTCTTGGCATATATGGTCATTTTGTTTATTTATTTTTGAGGAGCTTCCATATTGTTTTCCCTGGCGGTTCTAATTCTCCACATCCCTACCAACACTTTTTATTTTCTGTTTGTTTCTTTTTTTATATAGTAACCATCCTAGCAGGTGTGAGATTATATCTCATTATGCCTTTGATTTGCATTTCCCTAATGCCCCAAACCTGAAGAGTCATGGTGTGAGGTGGGAGTTGTGAAGCAGAGCAGAGTGCAGTGAGGCGGAAAGAAATTCTATATGATCAGAGTGTAGAATGTGAGATCAAAAGTGTGTGGGCAGGCACTGTGAGGAATTTTAAGGAGCTGTGATTTATCCTGAAGCAAAGGGAAACCACTAAAGATTTTTAAATGGATGATGATAATAAAAAGGACACTGACTCTAGCTGTAGGGTAAACAGTGCTTTGGAAAGGCGTCCTCCAAGCTGAGCTTGTGGTGGGCCGGATGTGGTATATGGAGGAAGAGACTGAGAGGGTTAAAAAGATTCTCAGGGGGGTATACCAGGGCTGGAAAAGCAATAACCATGGCCGAGAAACAGGAATGTCAGCTGAAGAGGAAAAAATAAACTAATATTCGGGAATACCGTGTCCTTTGACTTTGGGACTTTAGGAAATAAACTGTTGTCTGAGAAGGGACTTGGAAATTAGTGGCATAGAGAAGGAAACGGAATTAACCAGAAAGCATACGAGGCATGAGAACGGACAGCACACATCACGTCAACACCTACGAGGTGGGCAGGAAGGAAGCAACGCAAAAACTGAGAAAGAATAGTCCCCCGGCCAGAAGACCTAAAAGAAGAGGCAGCCAAGAAACTGAGGGAAAGAATATGAAAGGAAGATCAGGAAATGCTGTCACTTGGTCAGCTAAGGTAAGTGTGAAAATTACATACTGGATTCGGAGAAAATTGAGGGTGTGAATGACTCTCACCATCATGGGGGGATATTTTCACTGAGGCACCCCAAGACTGGTGGCCTCCCTGTGCAGAAAGGCTGTTACCAAGTGAGCAAACGCTCTGGTTCTGTAAATCCCCCTGAGAAAGGGGACTAGTGGGCCAAGTCGTTCAGTTGAGGGGGGACATTATTTTTATTAAGATAGAAGAGAATGTAAGTAAGTAAGTGGATATAACGGCGCCTGCTGGAATGGCTAAGTAGCCCAGAATATTCTAACCAAGCAGCACAAAATAGCCCCTTAAGAAACATACATTCGGGCCTCCGCGGTGGCACAGCGGGTTGAGAGCAGCGCTGTGAAGCTGTCCCGCAGCAATCCCCAGCCCGCCAGGGAGATACCCACATGGTGCGGCAGACCTCTCCTGTCCCACCCGCTGCTCCCGTCAGCAATGTATTTCATCAGTCGGCCTGTTCTGTTCCCTGCTCTGCCTCTGGTGAATCCTCTCACCCTCCCTTGCCTCTGGCCTGTACCCTGGCTCTTGCACAAATAAATAAAAAAATCTTAAAAAAAAAAAAAAAGAAGAAGAGGGCCTCCCATGGTGGCGCAGCGGTTGAGCGCTGGGCTGTGAAGCTGCCTGCAGCCTCTGCAGCACCGGTTCCATCTCCAGCCGCCGGCAAGAGTCCCACATGGCACAGCAGACCTCTCCTGCCGCCCGCTGCTCCCCTCAGCAGTGTACTTTGGTCCTTCTGCCTGTTCTGCTCCCTGCTCTGGCTCTGGGGAATTTTCTCACCCTCCCATGCTTCCCTCCCCACCCCATGCTTCTGACTGTACCCAGTGCTTGTATAAATAAATAAATAAATCTAAAAAAAAAAAAAAAGAAGTTAATCCTTTAAAAAAAAGGAAAAGAAGAAACATTCAAACAGGACAAAATAAGTTCTTTTCAGGATTTTACTTCTCACACTTAACACAATCAATGTAACCTGCCGCATTTTCAGACAACCCCATTGTTTCGTCCTGATTTTCTGCTTAGACTAGGTGTGGGCCAAGGAGCATCATTAAGCTTCTGGGAAGCATCACCAGGAGCCTCGCGCCCATGGAGGTGAGCAATGACCTCTGTGACGTGCACATGGCCCCGAGTCAGCACAGCACCCTCCTCTGTCAGTCCTTCCTCAGGAAAATTGCATCATCAACAACTACAAGGAATCCTTCTCCTTCGAGAAAAGGACACCTCTTCAGGGGTAAGGGGTCACTGCCTTTTCTGGTCTCTTTCAAGGCTGTTGTCACCAGACCAGTGATCCCACATTCCTCAGCCTGCTGTGTCTGACCTTGGTCTGTTCCTGATTATCTTATTTTGCTGAAAAAAAAAAATGTAGAAAACTTGGCAAGACCAGCTGAAACCACGTTTCAGTAAGAAACATGGATAAGGGTTAAGCCATAGACTAGGCCGTCTCCTCGCCATTATAAAATGCTGGCCCACAGCACCATGCCAGGTCTGGTGGACACCAAACTTGAAAGAAAAAGGGGTGTGAACACAATACCTATAAAATGCCCACAATTTCTCTGAGGTCCTGCTGAGCCAGAACCTTCAGGCTCTCCCCCCCGCTCGGTGAGCCGCCATCTAAGTCCCTGCCCCTCCCCAGTTCAGGGGGAAGCCTTGGGAACAAAGTTTTCCCATTTTTTGGTCAATGAAAAAAGCCCTCTGCTGCTTGAGCTCTTGTTTCGAGTGTCTTTCTTGGGTGCTAAATGGGTCAAAGGACTCAGTTGGTCAGTAACACACTCTGTGTGGTCGACCTCCCTTGTTCCTTGTCTTTGCACAGCAGCTCATAAAGTGCTCTGTCCACTCTCCTCCCTGTCCACCCTCTGGTTCTGCTACTTCCGTTGTCGTATTTTCTTTGCATGCTCCACCTTATTTCTCTTAATTCCTCATAGTACAGGTTTTTGTATAAACTTCATAAAAACTTGGGCATCATTTTTATTTTCCATTCATTCAACAAATATTTATGGCCATATAGAGTACCTCGAAAGTTCTTGCCTTTTTGGAACTGAAGTTGTAGTGGGAGATATAAAGTAGTAATGACCTAATTACTATTTACATTCATATGTCTTTTGACTCCCAGTTGAACAGAGG